GTGTGTGTGTGTGTGTGTGTGTGTGTGTGTGTGTGTGTGTGTGTGTGTGTGACCTAATCACTAATCACTCACACACATGCTAGCACACAAACATCCATAGGCGGCTCCGGGGGGGAGCAAGGGGTTGCTATAGCACCCCCTTGCTCCCCTAAGAAAATATCAGATTATTTTATTTTTCATCTGAATTAATATTCTTTAATATGTGGTTGTTGTGATATTTTCCTCGCAAAACACAACTAATTTCAAAAAACAATCAAAGATTATATTGAGTTAAAAAAAAATCCAATCTCACAACAGGTATTGAACCTCTGAACCGGACGTGAAAATTCAAGTTACTGAAAGTTCAGTAAACATTTGAAAAGTGCACGAAATGCAAATATGGACTGTTTTCTATTGCCCATATTGCTTAGAATGGAATCAGAGAAGGAGGATTTTTTGGAAGCAGACTGCAACCAACAAATAAACAATAATTTGGAAGAAGGATCAAGCCTACTGCCATCATTACACATCTATGGAGAATGCTGCTAACGCTAGCACTGGACAGCTGAAGGATGGAGCCAGCTCGTCCAGCTACCTTTAGACAGTTCCCGGCGAGTCCTCCTCATGGTGTATCCTGATCTGATCCACCAGCAGAACCCCAGAAAGACGAGTGTCCTGGTGCCCTCAACACTGACCCGGTAAGGAGCAGAACCTGGTGACATGATGCAACTCGGTCTGGTTATGCCATTTTTAGCTGACAACTTGGTTTTACTGTTTTTTAGTTATTTGTTTTTGTAGTTTTTACTGTTTGCTGTTTTGATTTGTAGTTCATTACTTTTATGGTATCTGTTGAGTTTATAGTTTTTATGCTTGTATGTGTTAGTGTACAGCACTTTATTTTAAAGTGCTTTATAAATAAAGTTGTATAAATCATTTCCTGATTTGCAGTGATAATAAATGACTTATCTGATCTGATTAAATAACTACTTTCAACCAAAATCCCAATTGAGCTATTTATTAACAGTCAAACTTTGTCTAAATTCATGTGCGTAAAAAACTGAAATAATTCCTATTCAGAGTCAGTTTTGCCTTAGATAAGAGAATTAAGCCTTGATTGATTCATTATTATTGTTTGCTTATTATTGTTACTGATTCTTAGTTTGATTATTTTGTAATAAAACTTCAGACAACTTTGTTATCTTCATTCAGATGAATATTCATTTGTTGTGGTATAAAACTCCCTGTAATTAACAGATTCTACTTCAGTGACTGATTTTGATCATCCGTCACTGCAGACAAACCTTCAAGCAATATTCAATATAGGATTTTCAATTCTAATACCTTTTTGTTTGATGCCTGAATCAGAGAATAAACATACCTGAACTTCAACAACTCTAATGTTATTCCTTTTTTTTCTTTTCTCTGTCTTTTTTTCCCCTTTCCTCTGGTATCAGATGCTGTGCTGTTGGCAGTATTTTTACTGAAACCTTTTTTGTTTTTAGTTTTGGACATTTATGATGCATAACCATAACAACAGGGTGGTTTTCTACAACTGGGAGCAGCTGATTAACATCTCAAAAGCTCAAATCTCAACTACAGCCCCAAATCCCAAATGAAAAGGAGGTGCCGTGGATGCATTCCCATCTACCTGGAGGCAATGCTCGAGTGCCTGACTGCAGAGATCTTGGAGGTAGCGGGAAACACAGCTTGTGACAGCGGGAGGACCAAGATCATCCCCCGGCACCTGCAGTTAATTCTGCAGCAACAAGGGGTTTGGCAGGCTGCTGGGAGAAATGGCCATCGCTCAGGGAGAAGTTCTGCTCGACATTCAGGCAGTCCTGCTGCCCAAGAGGACCCAGAGGTCTGCTGGGTCTGGGTAGACAGATTGACATCTGTAGCCAGTTTCTTCAAACCGCTGTAGGACGGACTGCTACAAGAGATCCTCCCTGCCCAAAGACATCAACATCTAGAACAACTCTAATTAAACCAAGATGAGCTACTACAACAATTAATTTCCCTTTGGGATTAATAAAGTATATTTGAATTGAATTGAACTGAATTTTATTTTGTGCATGTCCCCAGTGATACATTTTTACAAGCTCAGTTTGCATTACTGTAACTTTACAATAGTTTGTGCTATCACAAACAATTACTACAGTTTCTGAAAGCTGCGAACTTGCTCTTTACAGCCAGTTTAAGCTTATTAAGGTAATCTCAACCTGCTGTGGTAGGAAGCCTACAAACAGCACATCTGCAGCCGTCCTCCCACTCACGGTATAAACAGGTAAGCCAGGACAGTACTTGTCAAATGCGGGGCATTTATGTGTCTCAACCCACAGCTATGCAGTTTGTCGTATGGTTTCAAATATTCGATAACTAATTCAAGGTTGCAGAGCCTCAGACTGAAGAAGTATTTTGGATAAAAGACGAAATGTTTCAACAACGAAGAATCTGTCCAGATGAGCTGACTTTAATTTGATAGGTAAATACCTGTAACTCAACTTTTTAATTTCTTTAGACTCCACTGGATTTAATTCAAGCAAAGCTTCTAGTCCACACTTCAAGCAGGAAAAACCAGGCGGTCCAGATAATTAGGCGATCATCTCACTGAGGAGTTAACTTGGCAGCTGAAAGGCAAAACTAAAACAGCCGAAGAATCCAAGGGTTTGTGTCCACGAGGAACATGATGGAATTTATTCTTCAATCCCCCACTTCAGTCTCTCTGTTTGGGGTCTTTGTTGTTCTCCTGGTCCTCCACCTTCTTTACTCCAACTTCAGTTTCCCAAAAAGACGAGAACCTCCAGGACCCAGACCTTTTCCTCTGCTTGGTAACCTGCTCCAGGTGGATCTGAAAAGACTCGACCAAAGTCTTTTTCATGTGAGTAATTTTTGGCATTATGTTGTTCTACAAGCGACAGACGGAAAAACAGATTTTTGTAATGTCTCATCTTTAGCTGTATCATATTTTTAGCTGTCCAGAACATTTGGACCAATTTTCCAAGTCTACTTTGGACCAAAGAAGGTGGTGGTTCTGGCAGGGTACAGGACTGTCAAAGAGGCTCTGCTGAACCAGGCTGATGAGTTTGGAAACAGAGAAATCACTCCGCTTTTCTACGATTTTAACCAAGGGCATGGTAAAAACGTGTTTACACAAATTAATTAGTAAAAATGTCTTTAAAAACAACAACAACAGTCAATTGAACCTGTTTCCAGGCATTCTGTTTTCAAATGGAGACTCATGGAAAGAAATGAGACGTTTTGCTCTGACAACTTTGAGAAAATTTGGAATGGGCAAGAAGATGAGTGAAGAGATAACCATAGAGGAATGTGGCTATCTGATTAAAGAAATGAAAAAATACAAAGGTAACTTTATAAGGTGCTACCCAGGTTTCTTTGTGGAACACAAGTTAGAGGTGTTGCAGCCTGTAATATTTAATAATAATTTTGTTCATGTTTACCCAGTTTACAACTAGAAATAAACTAACACACTGCAATGGCTCAGTCCATCTGGTATGTTAGAAAATAAATAACTCGGTGTGGCCAAACTCCACTTTTAAAATATGTGTCAAACATTAGACTGACTATTATTGTGCTAGAAAATGAGTGGAGGTTGAATGAATACTGTTAAAATTATTATTTTTAATGTGTAAAACTAAACTTTGTAGGGAAACTTGATTCTGAAAATAAAACTTTTACATAAATCCAACATAGTGCTATCTTAGTTTCAAGAATTACACAATCAACCCAATAAGCGTTAGTGTTTAACAGCCTAACAAAATTTATTAATTAATTTTTTCAACAGGTAAAGCCTTCAACAACACTCAGGCAATCAATTACGCTGTTTCAAATGTTGTATCAGCTCTGGTGTTTGGAAAGAGGTTTGAATATGAAGATCCAGTCTTCCAAAAGATGGTGGAGAGAGATAACGAGATTATTCATCTGACTGGATCAGTTTCTCTCCAGGTACGACAGAAACATTCAGGCAATATGAAGAAAGTTTCCATATTGTGTATATGAATGTGAAGTTAAACGTTAAGTAAAATTACGTTTTTCTCTGCAGTTTGGCAAGAAAAAAGTTTACGTGAATCAATTTACTTGTTTATTTTAGTCATATGACACGAAAAGTTGAGAAATACTTCCTTAGGTCTTAAAAAATAATAAACAAAATGTATCATAATGATGGTTTTCTTCTCAGTTCAAAGGAGTTGGGTTTGAAAATGAAACGTCTCATTTGAATAATTGTTGTTTATAACAAGTTAATTTTTAAAATCCAATTTTTTAAAACAAGTATATAATTTCTGTCAGGATTTGTGTCAGGAGCGAACCCAGAGTGCAGAACAGGGACTCAACTCGGCAGAAATACAAAAATAGGATTTTAATGAGAAATAAAAGTACAAAATAAACAAGCTGACGGGGCAGCAAAACTTACATGGACATAGGAAGGAGGCACGGGGAACTCAGGAAACACGAGAGACAAGGGGAACTCGAGGAACCAGGAAGACTCAGGGGAAGACTCAGGAGACCCAACGAAGACGACCTGACGAAGAACAAGACAGAAAGGACGGCTTAAATACAGGGACAAGACGAGACGTGATAACAAACAGCTGGGACGAGACACAGGTGGCACTAATGAGGGAGCCCGAGGGAAACAGACACAAACTGGGCCACAGAAAAGTACCATCCTTACAATTTCTCCTGATTACTTGTTTGTGGCTTGAGTTTGTAGACAGAATTGGTGTTTAGAAGTATGCTACGTCTCTTTGAATGGATCCATTTTTAATTGGGTAATGTAATATCTAGGAATAGTCTTACATTATGAATAAGAAACAAAAAAAACAAACAAAAACAAATAAACAACAAAAAATATTATACATTATACATACCGGTGTATATACTTAAAAAAAATGTAATGTGATTGTTTCAAGATTTACAACTTTATACCATGGCTGGGCCCTTTCCTTAAAAACTGGAAGAACATTATCAAGCATATAGAAGATGAAAAGGCAGATGCTTGGAAGAAGATAGTAGATCTGAAGGAAACTCTGAACCCTGAGGTGTGCAGATGCTTTGTTGATGCCTTTCTGATTCATAAGAAACAGCTGGAGGTGAGCAATGAAACTTCAACAAGTCCATGTGCATAATGTCATTGTTGATCAACAAGTTTTTTCCATCTTCTTTGTGTCTGTCGCAAGGAATCTGGTATCAAAAATTCACACTACCATGATGATAACTTGGTGTACAGTGTGGCAAATATATTTGCAGCTGGAACTGACACCACATCTACGACTCTGAAGTGGAGTCTCCTTTACATGGTCAAGTTTCCTCATATTCAAGGTAAAAACCTCATCTAGGGCCCATCAAATATTGCAACAATTTACATTGTTATTATCTAATGTTCATCCAGATCGCGTTCAGAAGGAGCTGAGCAGGGTGGTTGGAAGCCGGCAGGTTCAAATGGAGGACAGGAAGGATTTGCCGTACACTGATGCTGTTCTCCATGAGACACAGAGATTTGCAAACATCGCTCCAATTGCCATTCCTCACACAACAAGCAAAGATGTCACCTTTCAGGGTTATTTCATTGAAGAGGTCAGCAGCTCACATTGGTTCAGTTTTCACAAAAATGTTGCTTGTTTTAAAAATAATAATCTTACATAAATGCAAATGATAAAATATTTAATGATTTAAACCTAAGGCTTGATTTACCTGCAGGGAACAACAGTTTGTCCTCTCC